CCACCAGCCAACCTCCGATCACCCACTACATATACCCACAACCCACCAGCCAACCTCCGATCACCCACTACATATACCCACAACCCACCAGCCAACCTCCGATCACCCACTACATATACCCACAACCCACCTGCCAACCTCCGGTCACCCACTACATATACCCACAACCCACCTGGCTGTTGTGTCTTCCCGCTGTTTTGTACCCGTAGATTTTCCCGCGCATGTGCACGTTTCTCTCGTGACGGCGCAGGTCGTTGGACTGTGTGAAGCATCGGTGACAGATCTTGCACTTGTACGGCCGCTCGCCCGTGTGAACCCGTTCATGAACCTGCGGGGGGAGAAATGGTGAAATGGTGAAATGGCGGGACGGTGGAATGGCGAAATGATGGAACGGTGAAATGGTTTCGTTTTATAATTTAGTAAGGTTTTACGGGCCTCGCAACTGCATAAGGTCATATGAGGGCTGGTGATATGGAGAAATGGAGAAATGGTGGGACGGTGGAATGGTGAAATGGTTTTCTGTTTTATAATTTAGTAAGGTTTTACGGCGCTCGTAACTGCATAAGGTCATATGAGTGCTGGAGAAATGTTGGAATGGAGAAATGGTGAAATGGTGGAATGGTTTCGTTTTATAATTTAGTAAAGTTTTAAAGGCCTCGTAACTGCATAAGGTCATATGAGCGCTGGTGAAATGGAGAAATGGTGGAATGGAGAAACGGTGGAATGGTGAAATGGTGGAATGGTTTCGTTTTATAATTTAGTGAAGTTTTACGGGCCTCGCAACTGCATACGTTCATAATGAGCACTGGTGAAATGGTGAAATTGTCGAATAGTGAAATGAAGAAATGGAGAAATTAAGAAATGGAGAAATGGTGGAATGGTGGAACGATGAAAAGGTGAAAAGGTGGAATAGTGAAATGGTAGAATGGTATAAAGGTTTAAATTTAACGCCACTATCAACACTATTAACTTATTTGACTAATACCCCGGCCCATAGGCACGGTCGGTTCGGTTCGGTTTGCTAGCCAGATTGACGGCACAAAGCGGCTATCGTGGCACAAACCGATCGCCCGACTCGTCGCCTAAAAGAAGACTTTCAAGTAATATTTTGCTCTTGCCCATTTACCTGAGAGTATCCATCAAACAGCCGAAAAAAAAAGAAGAAGAAAAACCCCACATGGTAAATGCAAACAAAAGAAAGAAAGAAAGAATGAATGAAAGAAAGAATGAATGAAAGACAGAAAGAAAGAAAGAAACATTATAAACAGTTATAAATTATCATCACCACCACCACCACCACCACCACCACCACCATCACCATCATCATCATCATCATCATCATCAACCAATCAATAATATAATATACAGGCCAAGTCGCCACCTCCGACCGAGCTAAACAAAAAAACAACAACCAATATATCAAAGCGTGCTGATGTCTACGCTGCTCAAAATAGACATTTGATCCCAAGCAAAAATATAATGCGTCCTCCTGCAGAACAGTTCTTATGAGTGTGATTCTAAAATTAGCAAGACCCGATTCTGCAGCACAATGATGGCTGTCATATGGAATTCGCGACAAACAACAGGGATTTTTACTTTCTTTTTTCTTTTTCTTTTTTCTAACTAAAAAAAAAAGGGGGGGGGGGATA